ACAACGCGGGTCTTTCCGGGCTGCTGCAACTCACGTTGCAGAAAGTACTCCATATGGATGTACTTGGCCTTGCCCTCACGTCGAGCCTCCTAACATAGAAGGATCATGGCCAGAACGGCCATGATTGTGCGCAAACAGGACCAGGGCAGACATAGGCCGCTCACCTAAGTCAGTGAGCAAGAACGTCAGCCAGTGGAGCTCTTGAGCAGCCATGGCCCTAGCGTAGATCTCTGCCTCACAATTGGACTGAGCTACAGGCGACGATCTAGTGGACCTCCATGAGACTGAGCAGCCATGGCACTAGCATAGATCTCTGCCTAGTGACAAGTTTGAGTTACAAACGACAACCTAGTGGACCTCCACGAGACTACACCTGCCCAGTAAGGATCTGAGTGTCTCCAAGTCGTCATCCGACGACGCTTCTGTATGTCCTGTAAGGACCACTCGCTCCCATCCTCCTATCACAAGCCCCAGTCCTTATGTACTCGCCAGATACCGTAACACCCTCTTGGCAGCCGACCAGTGCTCTGGTCGGTGTCCATGCATCGCAACAAAGCGAACAAGGATACTGAGAGGGTACGCTAGATCTGGACAACTGCACGACATCAGGTACATGAGACACCCCACCAGCTACGTATGGACCACGAGGCTCGGCCTGCTGACCAAAAACAGGAGCTGAAAGTTTGTGGCCCACAGGTAGAGGGTCGGGCTCTACTAATGCAAATTGAAAGTCGAACCTCTGGAGGATCTACTGTACCATATGGGACTGGGAGGGTGTCGTGCCACTCACGGTGCACCTGGCGCAGATAGTAGACAGGGCGACGTAGGCTCCATAGGGTCCTAGGAGCGAAGGACCCGGTAAAGCCTTGTGGGCTCGTGTAGAAACGTTTCAAGAAGTCTGTCAAGAAGTCCAGTGAGTGGAGCTCATAATCACGCTGTGCAACTATGTGGAGCAACCGAAGCATAGTCATCTTCGGGGTAAGGGGAGAAGGTCTAAAAGAAGTCCACACCTCCCGCTGACTGAGATTTCTAGCCACATACCATGCCTTGAACTGCTGCGGCTCTCCAGGCGGGCACTTCACCTTAAAGTTCCTCATGGCATCGACTATGTTCGCCCCAGGTGGAGGAACTACGTTGACGTAACTGCCTGTGGATTTATAAGATGCCCTCGCTACCTCAATGACCTGTATCTACTGGGCTGCCCAAGCACCCAAGACCGCCTCAGCGTACAAGCGCATGGTAGGGATGTCCAGGGCGTCCGTGACACAAGCATGGCGCAGAGATGAGGTACAGCATCCGCAAGGAGAACAAGCTCGTACTGCCAATCCTCTAGAACGTTACTGCTAGGGCAGATGCACCCCCGACGGACGGAGGACAGGCAGAGTCAGAGACCAGAGCAGAGGCTTAGTTTAGGCAGTGGCTAGAGGAAAAGTTAGCGACAATAGCGGCAAGGGAAGAGACACCCTATGGAGAGCCACTAGGGTCAGTGACAAGCGATGCAAGGTTGTGGGAAATGACTGAACGAGCAGTGTGAGCAGAGTCAGAGAGAGGAGCAGGGGATAGCAGGAGCAATGATTGGGGAGGTAACGGTAGGACGGGAACTGGAGGAGCACGAGAAGGAAGGACCATAGGGTGAACACGAGCAAAAAAAGAGACAGGACGACCTACAAGGGGACGATGCACCCAGTACGGAAGGGGGGGAACGGGGGACAGGACAAAGAACAGAGGAGAACAAGGGGGAAACAAGCCGGTGACAAGTCCTGGGGATGGAACATCGGGCCGTAGACTGGGGCAGTTGGAAGGGGAGGCGTTGTGGGAGGAACGAGTGGGCGATTAGGGGAACAGGAGGAAAGGCCAAGGAGACGAAGGGTAGACTGCAACTGGTGCTGCTGCTGCCGCCGCTGCCTGTCCACACCAGAACCCCCAGCCCCACCATTGCCACCGTCAGTACTCTCAGAGCCAACACCCCCAGGACTAGCACCCCTAGAACTAGCACCTCCAGAGCCAGCACCCCAGAACCAGCACCCCCCGAACCCACAGTCCCCCGCCGCTGCTGCTGCGGTGGCGGTAGCACGGGAGGCTGCTGAGGTGCCTGAGGCACTGGGGCTGGTGGGAGAGGCGCCCCAGCTGCGGCAGGCGCAACCTGAGCCACGGGGCCTCTAGAGTCAGCAGACTCCCCCCACAAGTCTAGCCGAGGGGAGGGGAGTGGCATGAGAGACACCAGACGAGGCCGTGCGGGGTGGGAGGGGAGCAGCAGGCAGAGGAGGGGCGAAGAAGAGAGGCGGAGGAGGAACACGAGTGCCACGGTGAGGTAAGCGAGTGTAAAGGGAGACAGACTCGTCGAATGTAATGTTACGAGAGTGGAAGAAGCGGTGCATCGAGCGGGAATTCGAGGAAGACATAGGGGACAGTGGGAACTGAGAGCTTGTCCACGCCATGGGCGGAGACGTGAGTCAGGCACCCCCGGACGTGGAACGTCGACGCGTTATTGGGAGACCCAGTCCAAAGGAGGGTCGGCGAAACATGTGGCTGCGAGAAGCGAGACCACAGGTTAAGCTGATGAGATGTGAAGCGCACCGTGAACGGCCACAGAAACTGGGGGGCACCGGCATAGACCATGGAGGTGTGGGCCACTTCCATGACCAACCCATTATGTTGCAGCGAGTCTAAAAAGGTGGACGTCTGGGTGATGCCCTTTGCACGACAGAACGTGACAAGTCGACCGGAGGCGAACTCACCGCCACGGTGAGTGAAGACGGACCAAAGACAGGGAGCACTGGGTGCAGACAACACGGAGCCACGGGAGTTGGGCATCAGGCATGTTTACCTTCCGCTCCAATGGGAAAGCTGTAGTAAAACATGTCAAGGCGTCGACCACAACCAGGAAGTAGAGCTTCCTACGAGGCCCCAAGACCGGGACAGGGCTTCATACGCCCATCTGCAGAGTCTATAGGGAAGCAGTAGTGGGAGGAAACAAGGAGGAGTGAGGGGCGGCGCACTGTCGGTCCTCGACGTAGGAGGTGCACGTAGGGGCTAGTGAGGTGGGGAGGGTGGGGAGCCACGTGGGGAGACCAGTGATGAGACTGTGGTGTACCATATGACGCAGACGCAGTGAGCAGGGTGACCTAAGCGATGGTGCCACAGGAGTGCCGGGTGGGTGAGGGAGCGACAGGAGCAGGACGCGGCAACCTGGGCGGACACAGCTACCTTGGGGGGCTCCGTGCGCAGTGTGAAGAAACCAGACGCATGGTCATGGTCAAAGGTGGCAAGACGGGCGCCCGTGGCGGCGACCGTACAAGCTGCGTATCTCCCATGGCCAAGGAAACTGGTGGTGACACTGAGGTCCTGGATATGACCGACACCAACCAGGTTCCTGGAAAACTTGGGGATATGCAAACCGGTGAGGGAGCGGGACGAGACAGCCGGAGAGGGAAGAGCCATGGCGCTGCGTACTACATCTGCTGCAGGTGAGTCTGCTAGGGAGACTAGTACCGGGGCAGGGAGTGGTATGAGTGCAGTGCAGTCTCGGACGAAGCACTGAGACGAGCCGGAGTTCAGTGTGATTGAGAGGGCCGCCGTAGCAGGGGCAGGTGAGGAGCCTAGTCTACACACATCAGAGGCTCTTGGACTATACACAGCAGTGGGGCCTACACCCGCAGGCCCCCAGGAGAAGCCACACGGGCCCCTGGAGAAGCCACACGGGCTCCAAGGCAGTGACCGCCCCGGGGCCCAACCTCCAGGGCCTCCACCATGCCCAACACTCCCAGGACCCCAATGCGGCTGCTGCCACTGCTGCTGCTACTCTTGCTGCTGTGGTGGCTGCCGCTGCTGCGACTTGGGGCAAGCAGCCCTGTAGCGTACCTCAGGGTCGCGGAGGTCACAAAAAAGGCGGCCGAGGGCGGCGGGGTACGAGGACGAGTAGCAAGTAATGTCAGCATACAAGAGGTTCTTCCTCGTCTCCTGTGACTCGAAGTTTGCCTGCTCATCGACTGGTAGGCAGCGGGTGATGACCAGCAGTGCAGCATCGAGCCCGCCAAATGGCATAGGCAGTCCGGGCAGCTGCGTACGCCTCACATTGCGGCGGCGTCGCATTGGCGGCAGGAGACTTAGGACGGGGTGGGGATAGTAGCTCACGAGTGATGTGGGCCTCCAGTAGCTCGCAGTCTACGCGCTGGCTCACCAGCTGCTAGCGGAGAGTGAGAAGCCGGGTAGCGAAGCCGACCGCCCGGCCTCCGGCGTCCAGCCGAAGGACAGACCTTGACAAGGTCATCATGCCGGCAGGGGAGCCGGCGAGGAACCCCAGAAACGAGGAGGAGTCTAGTGGGAGGTGTTAGTGGCTGCAGGAGCACGAACGGCGGCATCGGCAATAGCGGCTGTGGCCGGAGCGACGATCTGGCAGCTGGCGAACAGCTGGGAGGCGGCTGACAGGCGGCTGGCTGGCAGCTGGCGGCTGGAAGGCACAAGGCAGCAGGCGGCCAGCGACAGGCAGGCAGTGAGCAGCAGGCGGGAGCAGCGAGCGGTAGGCCTGCGGCAGCGGCAGGCAGCTGGCGGCAGTCGGCAGGCTGGCAGGAGGCTGGTAGGAGGCTGCAGGCGGGCAGTGGCAGCAACAGGCCTGCGGTAGGCAGGTGGCTACAGCGGCAGGTGTCAGCGGCTGGATGGCGGCAGGCGGCAGCGGCAGGGTGGCGACGACAGCTGGTAGCTGGTAGCAGGAGGCCGGTGGCGGGCGGGCAGCAACTGACGGCTGGCTGCTGGCGGCTGGGCGCTAGTGGCTGGTTGCTCGTGGCTGGCGGCTGGCAGTTGGCGGCTGGGCGCTGGTGGCTGGTTGCTCGTGGCTGGTGGCTGGTGGCTGGCGGTTGAGGAGGTAAGCTAGGGTGGGAGGGGAGTGGGTAGCGCCTAGCGCGGAAGCGTGGTGGCTAGGAGCGAGACCTAGCTCAATACCATGTTGTACCCTATATTAACTGCACCTAGCTAGGTTATAGTTCGTATATTCCCAACACATGTATAATATGAACTATAACCAAAACGTCATCCATGCATACACTTCGTCAATTATTTAAGGCTAAATAGTAAGGTATAAATGGTGTGGAACACCATAGCTTCTCCTACATCCCCTACGAGCTTTCCTTGCTTAGTGGTCTTATCGGCCCGATGGCACGTGTAGTGTAGATTGGTCTCGCTACACGTATCAAAATACCTCGGAGCTTCCACCGGCCATCCGTCCAGATACCCGATTCCATACCGCTGAATCTCCGCCTTGATCATCTCATTCATGTGCTCAATCATCGAGTTGGTGGGGATCAGCCCCCCGCACTCCCCTAACGGCCTCCAAGGGAGAATGCTCCGATACAGCATCCATGGCTTCCCACTCGGCCTGCTGATCGTTGCATCCGTACCATTCTCTCCACTGCTCGTTGCATCCGTACCATTCCCTCCGCTGCTCGTTGCATCCGTACCATTCCCTCCGCTGCTCGTTGCATCCGTACCATTCCCTCCGCTGCTCGTTGCATCCGTACCATTCCCTCCGCTGCTCGTTGCATCCGTACCATTCCCTCCGCTGCTCGTTCCACCCTCCCCACTCGCAACCGTCGAATTCGCTACCGCAGCTTCCTCCTCCTTTCCTCCCTCCTGCAGCTTCCTCCCCTTCCGTTCTACCTCTTCCTTCTCCCGCTGTTTCCCATGCCAGTCTTGCAGCCTGTCCAGTTGCCCCCTGGCCCAAGCGATGTATCCGGGCAGGTGTTTACTGAAGGCCTGCTCGGATTGGTTGCACACGCAGGCGGCCCAGAAGCCCCCGTCGATGATCGTCACATCGGCAGAAGCCGACAGCTTGGGGAAGGAGTTGTAGCGGTGCGACCAGAAGCCACGGCGCCTGGAGAGAGAGGGTGGAGAGGGGGGGGAGGAGGGGGACGGGGGGGAGGAGGCGGTTTGAGGGCAGGGAGGAGAGGGTAGGGGATGGAATCGAAACACTTGGATGCATGCAGAAGAAGGCAGCTTGGGAACTCACATGCATCCGTTGGCAAAACTCACATGCATCCGTTGGCAATACTCACATGCATCCGTTGGCAATACTCACATGCATCCGTTGGCAATACTCACATGCATCCGTTCGCAGTACTCACATGCATCCGTTGGCAATACTCACATGCATCCATTGGCAGTACTCACATGCATCCGTTGGCAATACTCACATGCATCCGTTGGCAATACTCACATGCATCCGTTGGCAATACTCACATGCATCCGTTGGCAATACTCACATGCATCCGTTGGCAATACTCACATGCATCCGTTGGCAATACTCACATGCATCCGTTGGCAATACTCACATGCCCTGAACAGCCCTGAACAGCCCTGAACAGCCCTGAACAGCCCTGAACAGCCCTGAACAGCCCTGAACAGCTGCAGCTGTCACTAGATATGCTTTCTTTTCCCCTACTTGCATATCTAGTGCCACCACTCACATGCATCTTTGCCACCACTCACATGCATCTTTGCCACCACTCACATGCATCTTTCCCACCACTCACATGCATCTTTGCCACCACTCACATGCATCTTTGCCACCACTCACATGCATCTTTGCCACCACTCACATGCACCTTCGCCACCACTCACATGCATCTTTGGCCAAACCTTACGTGCATCCATTGGCGATACTCACTCGCATCCGTACTCCTTGCTCTGGCAAATCCCGTGCACCCAGTACAAGTTCAACTTCAGTGGCTGCAGCCTGCAAATCCATATTTCCCGCCCTTATTTAGTACCGGTACCATTCACATCCCATCCTCCTGCCAATACTCACTCGCATCCATACTCCTTGTTCTGGTATATCCCATCCACCCAGTACAAGTTCAGCTTCAGCGGTTGCAGATCCATTCCCCCCTTCTTACACTTACACTTGCAGTCATAGATCATGCACAAGCAAGTGTTGCCAGTACTCACTCGCATCCGTACTCCTTGTTTTGGTAAATCCCATCCACCCAGTAGAAGTTCAGCTTCAGCGGCTGCAGATCCCTCCTCCACTTGGGCGGCGGCATTTTGATGACGATATCTTTATGAGACTTGCGGAACTCGGGGTCGATGTCATGCATAACGAGGTAGTTTATAAAGAGCATGAGGAAGCGCTGGTGCGAGTCGCCCACAAAGCTGATCTCCCGGATGCCGCGCGACTGAAGCGCCTCCATCCACTTGGAGGGGGGTGGCAGGGGAGAGGCACACGGGTAGAACCGCCATCTGCAAGGGGGGCGGGGCGGAGGCGGGGGTGGGGGGAGGGAGTGGGCAGATGAAAGGGGGAAGTAGGGGGGGGGGGGGGGGGGGGGGGGGGGTGACGGAGAAAGCGAGCAGGGAGGAAGCGGTTAGAGACGGACGAAGCGGCACAGGGCTTAAAACCCACTTCCCAATGCCCATACACCATAAAAAAGGGCTCACTGTGGGCTTTACCATCAACACCGCAACCTAAGATGACACTAAGATGGAACCACTTCTTTTTATTATAATTAATAAAACCAATACATGAAAAAACAAAAACAAAAACAAAAAACAAAAAAAAAAACCAAGCTATTTAGACCCTGACCATACCCCTTTTGAGGAGCCTCAAAAGTCGTCTCATTACTCGTGGTTTTGAGGCGCTTCAAAAGAAGGAGGCTCACATGTGGGCTTTATCATCGAGCAGCCATCGCCAAGGCCGATTCTTTGGTCGCCTCCAGAGGTCATCTCAGCACCAACCTCAGATGAAACCTCACCTGCAGCCCTATGTTTGTTTGTGCATCCATCTGCCAGAAACAGACTGCTGCTTCAGTCGACCCAGAGGCCAGCTCAGCACCAACATTTCACCAGCACCCACATTTCACCTCAGCACCCACACGTCACTTCAGCACCCAGCAGCATACATGGGGGCTCACCGATAGGCTCTACTTTCGTGCAGCCATCTGCCAGCAACGGACTGCTCGCACGGGGCTTGATGAAATTCCCTCTCCGCTTCCCTCAGCCAATCCGCCTCCCCCTCCGCCTGCCCCATTGCCTGCCCCTTCGCCTGCCCCTTCGCCAACGCCTTAGAACCCCGAAAACGGCCAGGAGGGACATCCGCAAAAGGGTCTGCGACTGTGAGATTCCATGTTGCGAACGGCGGTTCTATGCCCTGTTTAGCGAATTCCTTAGTGTAGTTGAGAGTGGTGCAACCGGATGTGACTGTAACGCTGTGGGAGTGCAACGGGATGGAAGTGATACCAAGAGGAGGGGCTGAGTTCATGTGATAATGAAGACAAATAAATTGGAAAACCTCAATGTTCAAGAGCTTATTGCAATGATACAATTGCAAATGGTGATAAATAGCACACATTTACTTACAAAAAAACAAGGCAAACGCTAAAGCGAAACATGAAAGTAATATGCACCTTGATATGATTACATTTTCGTGATATGCACCTCGAAAGTAATCACTTACATGTATTTTCCTGCGTCCCAGATTCGATAAGAGACCCTCCACCGCGTGTTATCGCCCGCCTCCTTCTTCACCTCCGCATACGCGATAGCAGGCCCCCACAGCTCCACTAGTAGCAGATCCATGAACGCCTCGTTAACCGGAATTACCCAATTCGCGGGCGGTCTTATCTCGATCTCGAAGCTACACCACTGCCCCGCCACGCACCCCATGCACCCGTTACCGAACATAACCACGCCGCCGCGCCGTCGTACGCTACTGGCGGAAGCGGAAGCGGGAGCGGAAGCGGAAAAGGTCCCCGTTTTCTGCGCGGACTTCGCCTCTGCGGAAGCGCCGATAGCGCGACTCTCGTAGTCCCAGCTGTAACCTCCGTGGTCCCCGGACCACCAGCAGATCGGCTTCCCCGCCAGGCGCAAGGTGCGCACATCGAACTTCGGCGCGTTGGACGCCGCGGCGGCGGCGGACACGCCAGAGGGTTGGCTGCTGCTGTTCGCGCTGCTGTTGATTGCGCTGCTGCTGTTAATTGCGCTACTGCTGTCGATTGCGCTGCTGTTTGCGCTACTACTGTCGATTGCGCTGCTGTTAATTGCGCTACTACTGTCGGTTGCACTGCTGTTTGCGCTACTACTGCCGATTGCGCTGCCGATTGCGCTACTACTGTCGATTGCGCTGCTGCTCGAGTTGACTGCACTGCTGATGCACGGTTGCTGCGCGATTATCGTTGCGCCGCCATCAGCGGAAGGCTCCGAGCCATTCTTTGCGCCAACTGAGAGTTGCGCCAGGTTTTGCGTAAAGACTCTTCCCCCGGCGGAATACGGTTTCTCTTCCATATCGCGGTTGGCGGAAGGTTGTTCTTCCGCCATGCGGAGGTTGGCGGAAGGTTGTTCTTCCGCCATGCGGAGGCTGGCGGAAGGTTGTTCTTCCGCCATGCGGAGGTCGGCACTGCCATCGGCGACAGAGCTCAGCAGGCTGCTGGCGCGGTGTGCAGCCGACGCGGCCTCGAGTCCGGTAAGGTCACTCGGGTTGCACCAATGGACTAGGGTTACGAGGACCCCGGCTAGCAACGCTAGAAGTACTAAGTGGACGTAATAACGCGTATATAGCAGCATACTGGGACTCGTTACGGTAGCAGCTGGCTGCGCTGCCATGGCCTTTACTTTTTAGTCGCCTCAAAAATAGACTTCTAACGCGTATAGCAGCATATTGTGACTCATTACGGTAGCAGCTGGCTGCGCCGCCATGGCCTTTGGTCCGGCCGCTTTGGCCGGGAGAAGAAGACGAAAAAGAATGGCGTTTTACGACGACGGAAGATTTTGTTCTTGTCCACTGCCCGAATGCGCCGCTGCGCGAAATACGTCGCTGCCCAAAAATCGGGTTGTTGGACGAAGGACTCACGGGTGAAGTTGGTCAAATCTCTGCCGTCTGCGTGGATGTGTTGGGGGTGGAACGAGGCAGATGTGGTGAAGGAGAAAGCCTTGTTGATGTGCATGCGACAAGTCAGGGGTGTCTTGTGGCTGGGCTTGGCGAAACTACGGCACTGGACTGGACATCACAGAGAGGTACAGTGCGCTGTTCTACATTTGAGAAGGTTCCTGAGCGTTCAAATACGGTGACTCGATTACCCCTGGACCTGGGCGTGGATCATGAGTTGCGCAACTCGAGAAACCGCAACCCAGAGTTGCGCAACTAGGAAAACCCAACCTAAACCATTCCAAACCGACCCAACCAAACCATGCGAGTTTCGGCGAGCTTGGTAACCAGGCTGGGCTGCACAACTCAGATCCACGCACGCCCTGATGCGAAAATGAACAAGAGTGAGGGGAGGGCGCGGGGAAGAGTGCGGGCGGGACGGGGGCGAAAAGGGGCGCGCATGTCGGTCATTTTATCTACAAGGGAGTGATGAAGTGAAACGCTATCACGTCGTGGGGAATGGAGGGGAGAAAAGGCCAGAAGGAGAGATTTTCGGAATTCCCGAAATTCAGCATTCTCGTTGGCTCACGTCGCGTAGCATCACTTTGCAGTACTGTACAGATCATATGCTATTAGAACAATATCAAAATGCGCAATGATTCCACACCTGCAATATATCCATATGCGCACACCCTGTGTACGCAAAAAGATCGGAAACTGGCCACTGAGGTTTGAAGTGGCCCAAAAAAAAAAAAAAAAAAAAAACAAGGGGCGATGATATCGTCTTAGGGTTGCGGAGCTCTTAATAAAAAATCAATATATGTAGTTTTCATTATATTTTTTCACTTATCATGACTATTCAAGTAAATAAGTGAATGCTATAAATATAAGACAAAATCTAGTTAAGGAGATATAATATGAAGACATTCGTGCAATCTCTAAATTTGTTGAAATTGTAGAAATGTATTGAGTTGACGCATAGCGATAGCGAACTTGGATTGTAGAAATGCGTAATATCCTATCTTGTGTTACACTTGCAATGCTTTTAGTTTGACATGACATGTAGTTTAGCTCTGTGGCTGAGAGCACACTCCTGCCAGGGTGTGCTTGTGCCAAGCTGACACTTGTTCGTGCTTGGTGACTGCTTGTTTTTCGACTTCGCTCTCACCTGTTTCTTCCTCTCTACCTACCTCCTAACCACAGCGTAACCTATGCTAGACTAGCTGTTGCCAGCTTTCGCCAGCACTACCGCCATGGGCGCTGGCGCCATGCACGCTGGCTCCTAGCGCCAGTGCGCGTGGCGACAGCGTGTGGCACCAGCGCGCGATGCCTGACTCCTGGCGCGCTGACTCCAGGCGCGCTGGCACCCTGGCGAGCTGGCGCCCTGGCGCGCTGGCACCCTGGCGAGCTGGCGCCCTGGCGCGCTGGCCTGTTGGCGCCTTGGCGCCCAGGCGCGCAGTCGCCCTGGCGCTGGCGCCGTGGGGCGCTGGGGTGCCTGGCGTGCTGGCCCGCAGGCGCCTGGCGAGCTGGCGCCCTGGCGCATTGGCCCGCTGGCGCCTTGGTGCCCAGCCGCGCTGTCGACCTGGCGCGCTGTCGCCCTGGCGCTAGCGCCCTGGAGCGTTGGGGCGCCAGGCGCGCTGGCCCGCAGGCGCGCTGGCGTCCTGGCGCGCTGTCGCCCTGGCGAGCTGGTGCCCTGGTGCGCTGGCCCGCTGGCGCCTTGGCACCCAGGCGTGCTGTCGCACTGGCGTGCTGTCGCCTTGGCGCCCTGGCGCTCTGCCGTGCTGGCGCCGATTGCTGCCGGTGTGTCAGCTGTGGATGGCGCATTACTACTACCTGCAGATGCGCTAGTCGTTGGAAGGCAAGTTCCTACAACTCTTCTCGCGCTCTCTTGCAATTTGTCGTCACCTCTCCTTGCTGCTTCTTCATTTTGCTTATACTTCTCTATCATTTTCCTCTCATTTACGTCATCGCTCTCCTAGTTTCGTACTCTTTTCTTTAGTTCGTTTAGTCTTCCCCCCCCCCCACACCCCCCCTTTCTCTCTCTCTCTCTCTCTCTCTCTCTCTCTCTCTCTCTCTCTCTCTCTCTCTCTCTCTCTCTCTCTATCTCTTTCTCTCTCTTTCCTCTCTCTCTCTCTCACTCTCTCTTTCCTCTCTCTCTCTCTCTCTCTCTCTCTCTCTCTCTCTCTCTCTCTCTCTCTCTCTCTCTCTCTCTCTCTCTCTCTCTCTCCCCACCTCTCTCTCTCTTTATCTTTCTCGCCCTCTCTCTCTTTACCCCTTTCTCTCTACCTCTCTCCCGCTCGTCCTTCACCTCTCTCTCTCTCTCAATGCCCCGCTCACTCTCTCTGCCCCCCCCCCCCCCCCCCCCCCCCCCCCCCCCCCCCCCCCCCCCCCCTCTCTCTCTCTCTCTCTCTCTCTCTCTACCTCTATCGCCCCACCTCTCTCTCTCTTTACCTTTCTTGCCCTCTCTCTCTAAACCTCTCTCTCTACCTCTCTTCCTCTTGTCCTTTACCTCCCTCTCTCTCCTTGCCCCTCATTTCCATTTTCCGAGTTTTACCATGCATTATTTTCTCAACTAAACATGTGTTTTTTTCATGTTCTCTCTTTTTTTTTTCCACGTTTGTTGGTGCTTCAGGAATGCTGTTAGAAAAGATCTCTGGATTCCAACTGTGCTTTTTAGCTACAGTAGGCTGCTACATCACATAGCATGTTTCAATTGCTTCTACTTGTCGCCTTTCTTTCTCGTGATGCATTTTTGGGTCCAAGTGTTGTGTCGCTGCCATTTGCTTTGCGTTGCTGCCCTTCTCCATTCTTCTACTGCTTGCTTGATACACAGGTAGTGCATTTTGTGTATGCAATAAAAAATATTGTACTGATCGTCTCTTGTAAGGTTCTGTGACTTTCCACCTTGAGTGCAGTCAATTGAACTGGAGATGATAAGTGCAATCTATTTTATTGCAATCGCAAAGTGCATTGCCTTAAAAAAAATTGTGTGATATGTACATTAGGCTTTCAACTTCCCCCACTTAGCTGGGGAAGCGATTGCCTATTTTTGTCGTCGACAAAAATACGCCACGCGAAATGATGGGAAAACATTTACTTTTTTGTTTTTGTTTCTATTATTTTGTTATATTTTCCAATACTATAGTGTAATTACTATATTACACTATGTTACACGTTTCAATTACTCCCTTCCACATAGCGAAATGATGGAAAACATGAACTATTTTCCATCATTGTTTCGTTTCAACTATTATGTTGTAGTAGTGATATGATAGGTTTCAATTATTTGCCAAGCTAAGCTAATGAAGCTATGTAGTTTAGACGAGTCATCCACAATATATTGTCAATGCTCCCCACCATTTTGCTTAAATCAATATCATTTTTTTCATAAAACTTGAAAAAAATATTCTCTTACGATCGATTGTAATAAGTTGCTCCGTAACCCAAAAAATCACCACCAATGACGGAAAGCCCCTACCACGTGAACTCCCACATGCATAGGCGCACGACCTGTTGCGATTTCGCTACGTCTGGATTTCCGACCAATGCTCCCGACTGTCAAACATATATTGTTATGTTTGTATAGGCTGTATAGGTTTGTGCCTTATAGAGTACAGCCCTTAGGTTATATACCCTTGTACTTGTGCCTCCTAGTTATTATTCCATTCTGATATGGTATCATGAGTAGGTAGGTCCCACCACCCGCCCACGCTTCCGCCCTAGGTCCTAGCTGCCCCTCCCCCCCCCCCCCCCCCCCCCCCCCCCCCCCCCCCCCCCCCCCCCCCCCCCCCTAGCCGCGCCGGCCCTTGCGCCCGTTCTAGCCAGCCCCTAGCGCCCGTTCCTGCCGGCCCCTCGCGCCCGTTCCAGCCGGCCCTAGCGCCCGTTCCAGCCGGCCCTAGCGCCCGTTCTAGCCGGCCCCCTAGCGCCCGTTCCAGCCGACCCCTCACGCCCGTTCCAGCCGGCTCTTGCGCCCGTTCCGCACCGGCCCCCTAGTGCCCGTTCCAGCCGGCCCCTCGCGCCCGCTCCAGCCGGCCCCTCGCGCCCGTTCCAGCCAACCCTTGTGCCCGTTCCTCGCCGGCCCTTAGCGTCCGTTCCTGCCGGCCCTCGCTCCCGTTCCACCTGGCCCCTCGCGCCCACTCCTAGCTGGCCCTCGCGTCCGTTCCAGCCGGCCCTCGCGCCCGTTCCAGCTGGCCCCTCGCGCCCGCTCCTAGCTGGCCCCGCGCGCCCGTTCCAGCCGGCCCCTTGCACCCGCTCCTAGCTGGCCCCGCGCGTCCGTTCCTAGCCGTTCCTAACCGCCCTGGCGCCCGTTCCGCCCGGCCATCACGCCCGTTCCTCGCTGGCCTCTGCGCCCGTTCCTAGCCGGCCCTCGCACTCGCCCTAGTCGGCCCCGCGCCCGTTCCTAGCCGGCCCCTTGACCCATTCCTAGCTGGCCCCCGCGCCCGTTCCTAGCCGGCCCTCGCGCCCGTTCCTGATCGGCCTCGTGCCAGCCCCTCGTCGGCCCCGCGCTTGCTCCTGACCGGCCCCGCGCCCGTTCCTCGTCAGCCGGCCCGCCGCCCCCCAGTGCCCAGTTTGTCACTGCACAGCACCGCACTGCACTGCTCTTTACCGTACCGCACTGCATAGTACCACTCTGCACCGCACTGCACTGCACAGCACCGCTCTGCACCGCATTGCACCGCAGTGCACAGCACTGCTCCGCTGCTGTATCGCTCCTGATGGCGGACTCCGTGCTCCGCTTCGACGCAGAGGGTCAGCCGTTTGAGTTTGACACATGGCTGGTCGACCTCCGCCGTCATCTCACTGGTCAGTGGCAGGACAGCCACTCCCTGGCTGTCCACTTTGATGGTACGCTTCCCAGCCCTGACCCCCCTGCTCCCTTGCCCGCTGACCCCTCGTCCGCTGACCGTGAGTCCGCTGCAGGTGCTGCCCTTGCCCGCTCAGTCTGGCTGTCGCGTGACGCCGTCGCGCAGCTTGCGATCAGCCATGCCCTCCCCTTGTCTGAGCGCCCCCGCTTTAGGTCAGTCACGACTACGCAGGAATTCCTAGATGCCGTTGTCAAGCGCTATTCCACCCCGCCCGCTGCCTCTGTAGGTCGCCTGATCCTACCGATGCTCTTCCCTAACCTTGCATCTTTCCCTACTGTCGCTGACCCGGCCGCTCACCTGCGCACGATAGACGCGACCTGGCGCTCTGCCTACACTGAGACCCAGCTTAGAGCCTTTCAGCCGCCCCTCTACTCTACCCTCTACCTGCTTGCCACCCGCCTCCCTGACCGTCTTGCTACTGCCCGCGACCGCTTTCTTAGCATCCACAACGGTAACCTCACCCTCACTGACTTTGTCAACACCCTGTTTGCCATAGAGACCTGCCAGCGCTCTATCGCCCAGACCAGCGGTACTGTGCCGGTCCCTATCTTCCAGGGTTGTGCCCACGCTCAGTGCACCTTCTCCGACGGTTCTGCTGTTGTGGCTGAGACCTCAGCAACAGCATAGTTCCGTCAGGGGAAGGGTTGCCGCCCCAAGGCTGGGCGCGGCGGTGGGGGTAGTGGTGCAGGTGGAGGTGGTGGTGGCGTCGGGTCACCCGGTGGTAGCGCTGACGAGGGGACCGTGCCTGGTGTAGCCGAGCAGCCGTCTCAGCAGCCGGCGGCGCCGCAGTCGGACCCGCACCAGCCGTAGCAGCAGCCCTAGCACCAGCCACAGTAGCCGCAGCCGTAGCAGCAGAGGCGGGCGAATGGTCTCCCGCCCAGATGGCCCGGCGCTGGTGGTGGCTCTGGCCGTGGTGGTCGTGCGCGTGGCGTGCAGTCGGGTGGCGGCTCGGATGATGAGCGATGTCAGTACCAGCTCCAGATCGGTCCTCGTCGTGGCTTCGTGTGCGGTAAGATCGGTCACTCCTCCGTCCGCTGTTTCCGTCGCCTGGACGACCTGTTTCGTCAGCGCTTCGGCCCGGCGCCCGACCTCCCCGACTGGCACAGCTTGCTTCGCTGCTATGTTCCAATTTTTGATATGGACATGGATGAGCTTTGTTCTGCCCTACATGTGTTGTATGTTGATGACTCTAGTGTGACTGTTTCTTACTACCTCTTGTTGCCTAGTTTTTCCTCCCCTGCTGCGTCAGGCGTAGGATGCCCTGCCTTGTTTAGCCTTGGTTCTTCCCTCGCTGCTCCGACTCCGGCCGCCACTGCTGCGCTCTCCTTCACCATGGACTCTGGCGCTTCCCGGTGTTTCTTCCGCGACTCCACTACGCTGACGCCACTTGCTGCTCCTGCTGCAATTTCCCTTGCTGACCCCTCCTCCGGCCTGTTAGTCGCCCGTAGTTCCACCACCCTTCCCTGTCTGGCGGTTCCTTCGGGCTCTCTTACAGGCCTGCACATCCCCTCGTTCTCCAGGAACCTAGTTGGTGTCGGCTGCCTTCAGGACCTTGGCGTCACCACTACGTTCTCTAGTCACGAGCGATACGCTGTCTGTACCGAGGCCGCCACTGGTGCCCCCCTCACCACGTTCCCCCGGGACCCAGTGTCCGGCCTGTTCACACTAGACACAGCGACCCCCCCGGTTGGAACGTCTCCTCTGGTGGCTGCGCCTACCCAGGTTGCTGCGGCCTGCTCCTGTCGGTCGCTCACTCACCCAGCACTCCTGTGGCACCACCGGCTAGGTCACCCCACACTTCCGCATTTGCGTCACATGTCACAGCACGGTCTTGTCCTAGGTCTCCCAGGGTCTTTTCCCGAGTTGCCCTCCTCCCCAGCACCACCGTGCACACCCTGTGTCGAGGGCGGGTACGCCGTGCCCCTCATTCCTCCTCGTTCCCCCCCACCGCCGTACCACTACAGACCCTGCACATGGACGTCTGGGGCCCCGCCCCTGTCCATGGGCCGCGTCAAGAGCGCTACTTCCTTGTGCTTGTCGACAACTACACGCGCTACACTTCGGTGTTTCCCTTAGAGTGGAAGGCCGACGTGCCTGACGTTCTCATCACGTGGCTTGTCTCTGTGCGTGTCCACTGCGGTCTCCCTGTCATGCGTCTCCACTCCGGCCGTGGTGGCGAGTTTGCTTCTGGTGTCCTTGGTCGTTTCTGTCGGGCGAGGGGCATCACCCAGACGTTCACCTTGCTGAACTCCCCGCAGCAGAATGGGGTCGCTGAGCGACGCATCGGTTTGGTCATGGAGGTGGCTTGTACCTCCATGATCCATGCCGGTGCACCCCATTTTCTGTGGCCGTTCGCTACGCAGCTCACCAGCTTAACCTGTGGCTGCACTCCCAGCAGCCGCAGGTTTTGCCGACCCTCCTTTGGTCCGGGTCTCCTGGTGACGCGTCTGCGTTCCACGTTTGGGGCTGCCTTGCTTATGTCCATGCCTCTGGAACGGACAAGCTCACTGCCCGCACCGTCCCCTATGTCGTCCTTGGTTTCCCCCTCGACTCGACTGATTGGCACTTCTACCACCCCCCGTCTCACCATTTCTTTCACTCCCGCGACGTCACCTTTGATGAGTCCGTCTCCTTCTACTGTCGCTTCCCCCACCGTGGTCCCCCGGTTACTCCCCCCCTGTTCCTGGTTCCCCCTTCCCAAGTGGCCCCTGCCCCTCCCCCTCCCCCTCCCCGTTGTGCCCCGTCTGGTGTGTCTCACGTCACCCCCCTCGCGCCGGTTTTCCCGGTTGAGGAGTCTGCTAACTCTGGTGGCCTCGCAGCGCAGTCCTTACTACCTGCCCCTCCCCAGGTGTCTCCTCCTCTGCTGCCTCCGCAGCCGCCGTCGCTGCCACCTCTGCAGCCGCTGTCGCCGTCGCAGTCGCAGCAGTCGTCACCGCCGCCGCAGCCGTCGGCGCCGCTGCCCCCGCACACGTCGCGGCCGCTATCGCAGCAGCAGTTCGTTGCCTCTG